GCTCAAAGGTCATAATGCAGTCATTTGTGTCACCTTTCAGCCGAAAGTTTTCACGACGATGTCTAATGTACAGGAGGAGAGGAGGGATTTCATCACCAGAGAAATTGACAAAGATTATGTGAAGGTTGTTCAAAAAATTTATATTGGATGGTATAAAACGCCAATATCTGGATCAGACATGAGAAAGGCTGTCAGATATATTCAAAGGATCTTGGAAGGTTGGTAGTCATATTTATATAACTTTCAGATACTTTGCATTCATTATATACGTGTACATTTAAAGCTATACATTATAAATATTACATACTTAACACAATTTCCTTTTATATTCAGTACTTACAATGCAGAACTTACAAAATCAATTCTGCATTAAAGATAATACTTAAGCTGCTGCTAGGGGCATCTTCTCAATTTATGTGGTAACATGCATATATGACAGATGAAACTCATATTTTGCGATGTAAAATATTCTAAATTGTAATTCTAATTTATGATGCATAATATATAGGAGAAGAAAGTCATAGGAAAGCAACAAAACTGTTTGATGCTATACAACATATTGATATGATGAGAAAGAAAGGGCGACTAGACCAAGAGGGTCTTCCAGTGGACTATTCAATGTAGGAGCTTTGGCATATCTTGCTAGAAAGGAATGAACACCCACAAGAGAACTTGCAAAGAATTGTGAAAGAGTTCGAAGATAAAAGAGGTAATTTTAATTAACCTTAAAAAAGCTTGGACAAGTTGTAAGTGGTGTTGTTGTATTGAGAAGTAAAGAATTGAAGATAAATTTACATTTTTGAAAAAAAAAACTAGCATTCAGGTGCGAGGTCCCATATATTCATGTGTATCGTTACCTGTGTGTCACAGTGATTAGACCTCTGCTCTGGAGTCGCGGAGTAAGGAGTAAATCCTTATGTCGCGGGTTCGAATCCCACCGTGGGACGTGGATACCGGTCCTTAATTCGGATGAGACGGTATAAATCGAGGTCCCTTGTGGCGGCGTCTCCATATGAGTGAAGATTTTAAACAACAATTAAATAAATATTCATGTTATCATTGCTGATATATCCACACTAATTAATATACATAAAAAGATTAAAATAAGAAACAGATATCAAAAAACACCTTCATTGGACCATTTTCCAAAGTGTACAGTTAACCAATAATATGGTCAACGAAGTAACAACGCGTTGATATACAACAGGCAGGTAGCAACGGGGGGGGGATGGCCCCCATTTTTTCACAAACATACATTTTACTATTGGAAATGTTCATTGAAAGGCCGGTTGCCCCCCCCCCCCCCCATTTGGTTACAGTAAAGTGAAATGAGGATAAAGTAGTATATAATGTCAGAAAAAATGGTAATGTTGGCCTCTACATACACACCCTCCCCATTGCATACATCTCAAAATGTAGTATAGATATCGCTTACCGTTTTTCAGTGTTACTAAAACAATTGAAAACCGGTCAACTACAGTGACTGTTTCAAATGAAATATTAAACAGAAGACGTTTCATTCTTGTCCAATAGTTATGTTTCATGTATAGAGTTACAGAAATTATTAAATGTCACCGAATCGAAGATAAGTACTTAATAAAATACTAGATAAGTAATTGGTTTATACATTTCTTAAATTTATCTATTGTTTTGTTAATTTATAGGCTTTCGACCTTCTCCAGAAGAATTCGAAGATTTGTTTAACTCAATGAAAGGTAATATAGGTAAATATAGGTATATTAATACATATACTTCCACAGGCACCTGAAGTACGGATAATACACCCCCCCTTTTTTTTAAAGAAAGAAAAAATGTAAGAGGGTATAATACCTCGAAAATATAAAATTTCCCCGTCAAACACATCTATATGTCGTTATATGCAAGTTTGAAAAATGGCCCTATTCGGTATAATAAAAATACTCAAGGTAAGAAACAAAAATTGTAAACAAACAGGGGTGCCCCACTTCGAGACAGATTTCCAAGGTAATAACAGTGTTACCTATCCTACTTTTGCAAATACTCTGTCTGGAAGATGTTCTTTTACTAGTCTCTTTAACCTAAACCCCGCTGTAAGCGTTTGATATGCCGTAATCGGACGATTTTTTAATCGAATACATAAAATTTTCTCCATTGGCAGCGTTAAAGGAGGTTTTGGGGCTGCTTTTCTGTTTCGCCTTATCTGATTGGTTAGATATTTAAACTGTATTACAATTAACCAATCAGATAAGGCGAAACGGATCAGCAACACCAAAACCTCCTCCAAAGCTGTCAATGGAGAAAATTTCATGTATCCGATTAAAAAATCGTCCGCTTACGGCATATCAAACGCTTACAGCGGGGTTTAGGTTAAAGAGACTAGTAAAAGAACATCTTCCAGACAGAGTATTTGCAAAAGTATGATAGGTAACACTGTTATTACCTTGGAAATCTGTCTCGAAGTGGGGCACCCCTGTTTGTTTACAATTTTTGTTTCTTACCTTGATTATTTTTATTATACCGAATAGGGAAATTTTTTAAACGTGAGAAAAAGTTCAATCTGCTTGCATATAACGACATATAGATGTGTTTTGACGGGGAAATTTTATATTTTCGAGGTATTATACACTCTTACATTTTTATTTTCATTAAAAAAAGGGGGGGTATTATCCATACTTCAGGTGCCTGTGATACTTCCTTCCTTATTCAAACTTAATTAAACTCTTCCTTTGGGTATTTCACGGTATGCTACTTGTGATCTTCACATGTGAATACCGGAAAAAATCTCTTGAGATGTAAGTATTGCCACAGCTGAACAATATGAAATACTAATAATAGCAGATCAATGTCGCTTTCATCACGCCTTTTATGGAGAAATAGTCAAAACATGTACAAGAAATAACGTGCTGCTAAAACGCCAGACGGAAAACGGAAATTTCATTATATCATTTTATGTTTAATCACTTTATGATAAGTTTATATAAACAAATTTTATCATAAACAATATTTTTAAAGCGCATTCAATCTGTATTATAAAAAACAAGTTGGTGTAGTCATGATTAGCCTCTTATTCACGAAAATAGCTGACGAAGCAGTGACATAGAATCGAAATTGAAATTATTGGGGGGGGGGATTAAACTTACCTGAAAAGAATTTGACAAACTAAAAAAAAAAGACAAATGATTCGGTAGGGAGAATGAGTTCCTACTTTAATGTCTTTCAGTCTTTTCTACAGTAATTACATTATGAAAAGGTAGTGACAGAAAAAAAAACATAAAAACAAACTCAAGTATATACATTTGAGTTTATTTTGCGAGTGCATTTAAAAGATAAACGATTGCTTTTGCTGTTTAACTGTCAGAAGCCCTATGCTAGTCGTAGATTCTGCAAACCATGCATGTTTTGACCACTCGATCACCGTAAATATGAAATCTGTCAAGTAGTATTAAGTGTTTGAGAATACTAAACGTACTATGATGAAACTTGGACAGAGAAACAATAAGTATTGCTATCTCCGTGGGATATTTGTTTTTTGATAATACATCTTACAAATACCGAAAAAAAAGTCGTGACCCACATCGCTTCTGAATCCAAAGCGGTGAAAATCTACTCCTCCATTCGTCAAAAACGCCCCCACACTTTTTAGCGACTCCTCCCGTGACCAGTTGTATACGGTGAATTTGAATCTTGACTGACCCTTGAATCAACTGAAGTTTACGTATTTATACCTTGTTGAATGCAAAAAAAAAAGCTTTATATAATTAAATTTTATTTTCAGTCAAACTGGAACAGGAAGGAGTAATTAAAGATATACAAATTGAGGAAGGAAACGAAGAACTTCAGCGAAAAAATATTCTGCTTCAAGAGAAAGATGGAATTATAAAAGATAAGGATATTATGCTGGAAGATAAGGATAGAATGCTGGAAGATAAAGATAAAATGCTGGAAGATAAGGATAGAATGCTGGAAGATAAGGATAGAATGCTGGAAGATAAAGATAAAATGCTGGAAGATAAAGATAAAATGCTGGAAGATAAGGATAAAATGCTGGAAGATAAGGATAGAATGCTGAAAGATAAGGATAGATTGCTGGAAAATAAGGAGAAAGAAATACAATGGCGAAACAGAAAGATAAAGAAAATGCAAGAGTGGTTAGAGCAAATGCAAGTATTGTCAGCCAAAGGTTTGTTGTTGAGCGAGAATGAAGCTTATTAAACGTTTCAAAGTAATTACCTATATAAGAAGAAAACTATTTTGAGATATGCGTCATATTCATATTATCTTGGTTTTGTACAACATGATTAATCATTGAAACAGTATTTTTAAATTGTGTAGTAGTAAAATTGGATGAATCTGGAAACATACATAATTACATTATTTTTCTGTAGATTTCATAAAATTGTACCTAATATTGAATATTTTCAATCATTATTTTTAGAATACATAAAACATACAGTATACACAGTAGTATTTATTAAATTATACATGTTTTGAGATTTTTTGGCTCACAGTTATATTCAGTTGGTATGCAGGCATACAATTATACTACAAAAGTATTTTCGTATACAAATTAAAAAGCATTATTTTATATTATCTAATGTAGTTGGGTGTGAAAACGACTTAATTTCAATTTTTTTTTCGGGTTGCTGGTCGACATTTTTTTTTCATATACATAAATGTACATTTAATATTCTTACATGTAATATGCGTCATGTACATGTATGTTTTGATCTCTTTCTATTAACATTGCTGAATTGGTAGAATTTTGAATTAAGGACATGCTACAAACAAAAATTGGATGCATGTATTGTTATATGTTGATTCTCTTTTTTTTAAAGTAAGATTTTGGTTCGGAAAGAAATATGTAATAATCAAATTTCTAAAAGGTATATGTATATATAAAATGAAAGTATTTTTTATTATGTTCATATGTTATTTTAATAAGGAACAAAAATCATTTTAAAAACTTTTTCTTGAGATTACTTTCATATATAGAAATTACTTTGTAAAAAATTATATTGACTGTTTTCAATATTTCAATAAATAATATATGCCATGAAATCATGGTATTTTTCATTTACATGTAGTTTGATTAATTGAGGAGGGAAATAAAAAAAAACTTGTAAAATAAAAGAAGAAGTATTACATCTTTGACAACAAAAGAATTATAATTTTACGAAAAGGAAACTGAATTGTTAAAATAATTCAAAAACAGCAAAGAACATTCGGAAGTTTGCATTCTTCCTTTCGCGGTTTAAAAAAAAAAATCAAATGTAATATAGGAACACTGGCGAAAAATGTTGGGTTTTAAATAAAAGAAAACTAAATTTTAAACAAACCATGAAATATATGAATATAAGAAGGAAAATTGATATGTTTCAAGCTAAATATAATTCAAATGCAACAATAATACAGGAATAAACACTGAATGGGAGACATCGCCATTGCTACTCTGTCTCTGTCAATTTCCGTATTTCTTTAGTTTCCTTTAAAAAATAAATATGAACACATTTCCGATATATATGTCAAGTTGTACTTAAAACAACTCTTTAATCAAGTACTGACACTATGAGTTGTAGCTTAATAATAAAATGGCATCTTTTAATAAAGGCAAAATGAAAGGTGAATTCTTTTATCTTTTTTGTACAAAAAGAAACGCATTTTTGAACAAAGTACAAATCACAGGCTAACAAATTTACCAACACACCGCAAACATTTAAAGTTTTAATTTTGTTTCACTACTTTGATGCAATTCATATTGTAATCCTGATTAATATGCATTCAACATTGTATTTAAACGTGCAAACGCTTGTTACAATCAATAGATTACTAAAATAAAAATTGTTTTATGTATTTTATAATATACGACCAAGCACTAATGACAAAAAATGAACATGATCAATCGATTATGATAAATTCAGCGGTAGTGGGCGAATTATTATCCATAAATGATACGGATCCAGAATATGCAATAATATCACTGAATTATTATAATAAACTGCATGTTTGACCTAATATACATGTATGTTACCCTCCCATTTTGTTTCATCAGTAATCAGGGAATTCCACTATCTCTTGAAAAAAAATCAAAAGAGCACATGTCAGGAGTCAGGTCCAGTAGAGGATGTTCTCTCCTCCTTGGAACCTGAGCCCATCTCTGATGTTTTAGAGGTCCGTGTTTGCTCTGTTCAGGGTTCGCATTGTTTCAATGGGCTACTGAGCCTGTTTTTTGTTTTAATTGTTATCCCCATATTACATGTAAGTGATTTATTTAAGGATTTCCATCCCTAATGGGACAAAATTCTCTACCCTTAAATGGCTGTCAAGTACATAACACTCTGATATTAAATTAAAGTTTTTTGTAGTAGAAAAAGGAATGCCCGCGAGAAATTTTCAAAAATTTCACTAACTAAGCATTAACTAATTAACAAAGATTGCATTGAAGTCTGTGGGAAAAAGTATTTTTTGAAAATAAAAAACTCAAATAATATGAATATCATTTAATACTGCGGTAGAAAGATGCAATAAAATATTAGAAATAGAATGGCAAATAAATAATTTTTTGCCCGTAGAAGTTTTTCAAATGGAATTTTTCATTAATTAAAAATAAGGGGGAGATAACTCTTGCCAAAACTCAAGGTCATATATTAGGACACATCCCAGCCTTAATGCTAATAGTAATAAATTGGATTTATGTCTATATACACAGAGTATTTCATTGAATCTTTTGCTATTAGGGATTGTTCTTAAGTCATTTGTGTCACCTTTCAGTCGAAAGTTTTCACGACGATGTCTAATGTACATGTACAGGAGGAGAGGAGGGGTTTCATCACCAGAGAAATTGACAAAGATTATGTGAGGGTTGTTCAAAGGATGTACATGACATGGTATAAAAAGCCAATATCTGCATCAGACATGAGAACCGCTATCAGATACATTCAAAGGATTTTGGAACGTTGGTAGTCATATTTACACTTTATATAACTTTCAGGTACACGCATTGCATTCATTGTACATGTATACATTTGAAGCTATACATTAATATTATTACCTATTTAGCAAAATTTCCTTTTATATTCAGTACTTACTATGCAGAAGATACAAAATCAGTTCTACATTAAATAAGACACAAGAGAATACTTAAGGAAGGTCTAAACACTAACAGAAACTGCATGGGGTTTTTTTTGACTCAGAGAAAAATATATCATATAAAGATATGCATAATGAGACTTTTTTCATTCACTTATAACATATAGGGCACGTGCCTTTTTTGCGCAGGAAAAATGTTCAAAGACAATGGACTATTTTTGAGCAGAAATCACTGTTGTTTACTTACATTGGAAAAATTAATGAAAATAATTAATTTAATTTTTTACTCTTGCTCTTATACCAGTGTAATGCTAAAACATTTTAATCTATTACAAATCATGTAATTAACGGTAATAAACAATTTCTTTAATCTTACACATAAGGACAGATCAATCTAACTGCATAAAACTACCCTATAAATAGAGCTCTTAAGTGTGCAGTGTTTAGAGCGTTCTTAAGCCGCTGCTAGGGGCATTTAGTATTATATTTAAATTGATGTATCTTTTTAATTTTTCTGGTTACATGCATATATCTTAGATGAAACTCATATTGTGGGATGTAAAAATGTTCTAAATTGTAATTCTAATTTATGATACACTGTACATATATAGGGTAAGAAAGTCAAGGGGAAGCAACGAAATTTTTTAGAGCTATACAACATATTGATATGATGAGAAAGAAAGGGCGACTGGACCAAGAGGGTCTTCCAGTGGATTATTCAATGGAGGAGCTTCGGCATATCTTGCTAGAAAAGAATGAACACTAACAAAAGAACTTGGAATAAATTGTAAAGGAGCTCGAAGATAAAAGAGGTATTTCAAATTTTAAAAGGTTTAGACGAGTTGATGTGTTGAGAAATATACATTACATCAAGCTAATAATTCAAGAGAGATTCACAGTATTGAGAAAATAGTGTTCAGATGCGATGTCACATACATTTATGTGTATCGTCACCCGTGTGGCACAGTGATTGTAGTGTCCGCTCTAGAGTCGCGGAGTAAGGAGTATATACTTATGTTGCAGATTCGAATCCCACGTTGGAACGTTGATACCGGTCCTTCGGATGAAACAGTAGAAAGCAAGGTCACGTGTCGCAGTAGTAGCTGGTATGCTTAATTGCCCTTAGTGCCAAGTTTATAGGATGAAATTTGCAGCTCTCCACCGGCAAGTGGTGGCGTCTCCATATGAGTGAAAGACTCTCGAGAGGGAAGTTAAACAGCAATCAAACAGAAATTCATGTGTATTATTGCTGATACATGCACACTAATTAATATACATGAAAAGATGAAGATAACGAACACTGATCGATCTCAAATAGCACCTTCATTGGAACACGTGATGGACAAAGTAACAATGCGCCATAGTTGTTCAAAGTTCACGCTATCGCGTTAATATACAACAAGCACGTACGTAGGAACAGGTGGGCCGCTCCCCCCCCCACTTTTTTTTTCAAACGTATATTTTACTATTGGAAATAATCATTGAAAAACCGGTTGCCCCCCCCCCCCCCCACACACGCACACTTTTTGTTACAGTATAGTGAAATAAGGATAGAGTAGTATATAATATGTAAGAGTTGGTGGCCTCTACACACACACCGTCCCCACTGCATGCATCTCAAAATATAATATAAATATCGGTCACCTTTTTCAGTGTTAATAAAACATACCTGAAAACCCATCAACTACAGTGAATGTTCCAAATAAAATATTAAACAGAGCGCGTGCCTTTCTTGTCCAATATTTATGTTACATGTATAAAGTTACAGAAATTATTAAATGTCACCGAAGTGAAGATATAAGTACTTATCAAAATACTAGATAAGTAATTTGTTTTATACATTATTATATTTATCTATTGTTTTGTAACTTTATAGGCTTTCGACCTTCGCCAGAAGAATTTGAAGATTTCTTCAATTCAATGAAAGGTAATATAGGTAAATACATGTACTTCCCTCTTTAAATTTAAGGGAAAAAATCTCTTGAGATATAAGTAGCCACAGCTGCACATTATGAACTAATAATAGCAGATCAGTGTCGATTTCATCACGCGTTTTATGGAGAAAAGGTCAAAACATGTACAACAAAGATCGTGCTTCTAAAACGCGGAAGTGAAAAAAAACAATATATTATTTAACACCCCTACTAATGTGTTCGGAACCTTTTATTTTCGGTGTTTTGCAAATCATAAAACCCGATGAGTTCAGAGTAGCTCTGGCAGAGGCTCTGGCGAGAGTTAGCGAGACTTCGGCGAGATAGGGTAAATTATTCACGGATGTGGTTAGGAAGTGACTAGCACGTGGAGGCATGGTAAACAGAAAAGTTATATTGCGTTTCAGTTTTCACCACCCTAGAATCAGCTGATAATATAAGTACAAATGTACTTTAATTAATCGATCTCTTTTACATCAATTCAAACTTACATAAGTATTCTCTATACTACAATTTTCTACAGTCATGAATTAAAATTTCTTCTTGGACAAATATTTTTTTGCATGGGAACCGGGACTATATTTTTTGGCGTCAGATTAGCAAATGAGGCTCCAGCATGATTTTAACTGACCAATCATCTGAATGAGTATTGCATTATGGGTTACTACGAATACTACAGGAATTTTACGCTTGAAAAAAGGAAAATCCTATGGTTAATGAAAAGCATTTTTAAAAATATTATTTTCATGCTTATAATGACAAACAATTCATTTGTTAAATAAACGGCGGAAGTCTAGGTTTCTGAAAGTCATACTGCAAAAGCGATTTGCGTCTGTTTTAATTCCTTTGTTGTACTATCTGTGAATACAATTGCCAGGTGCATTCCCTGGCCGAACACGTGATCACGAATGTAAACAGAGTTTTGTCCATTTAAATGCATAGAGATATTGCTCGTTTTCCTTACCCTTGAAGCGCTGTTGTTCTAAACTAGACACAAACTACATTTTATTAAACATTTTTTTAAAAATATTTAACAACAAATTAAAAACGCCCGTAACATCTTTCATAGTTTCTTATCTTTGTATTTTGTTCGTAAGAACATTTTTTTATTTTGCAGTCCATTAACTTGATGGTAGATTGAACTGAACTACGTGTTCGAAGTAAAATGTAAACTTGTATTTGGTATAAACGTTGTTATTCATTCAAAGATTGGTCAGTTGCTCGTGGTAAGAGCCTCTGTGCACATTTATAAAAATAGCCATACAAGGCAAACAAAGGTTTGTCAGTGTAGATGATAATGCATTTTTACCAGCGAATCGGTCACTAGTGAGCTTTATTTTCGCCGAAAAGTATCAGATATATTGTTATTTACCACCATCCCCCTACTTAAGCCCCCCTTTATCAGTTGAAAATCATGAAAGTCTTTCAGAAAGGTCTGGAAACATTTATTATAGGAAATGTTTTCAAAAGAAACAGGCTATAGCAATATCATGTTTACTGCCAATTTTATTTCTAAAACCGGTTCTACCGGATAACTTTTAAATAGATCAACCTTAACCACGTGTCTTAAGAAATGTTTAAGGAATGAAGCTAATTTCACCGCGAAGCGGTTTATAAAAAATATCGTATAATATAAGTTGAAATAAGCTTCATTCCTTATAATTTAATTTCAGTGCAGACAATGATACAATTTTTTCCCGAGAATAAGGCTTCACATTGATTAAATTTTAAAAGTAACATCAAGCGGTAATACGTACGTAATACGCTTTTTGACGTAACTCATTATGACTTAGGCAAGTTATGTTATACAAAATGGATAAAAGCTTTTATCCAATCAAATGACGTGTTACAAGTAAAATTAAATCATTTTAGATTAAAGCAAATTTTACTATAAACAAAATCAACTGTATTTTATACACCTTCAATCCCCTTTGATTAAAAAAAGTGGATTTAGTCATATTCAGCCTCTTATTTAGGAAAATCGCTGACGTAACAGTGACTTAGAATTACAATTGAAAGTATAGGGGGAGGTGGATTTACCTGAAAAGTATATACATGTATTTGACAAACGAAAAAAGAAGGTAAAAGTATGAGTACAATGTAAGAAAGAGTTCCTACCCGAATGTTTTTCAGTTGTTTTTGTTACTTATGTCATTATAAAAAAGGTATTGGCAGAATAAATCAATGAATCTTTTCAGTCAACCTTGAACAAGAAGGAGTAATTAAAGATATGCAAATTGAGGAAGGAAAAGAAGAACTTCAGCGAAAAAATATTCAGCTTCATGAGAAAGAAGAAATTATAAAAGATAAGGATAGGTTGCTGGAAGATAAGGATAGATTGCTGGAAGATAAGGATAAAATGCTGGAAGATAAGGATAGAATGCTGGAAGATAAGGATAGAATGCTGGAAGATAAGGATAAAATGCTGGAAGATAAGGATAAAATGCTGGAAGATAAGGATAAAATGCTGGAAGATAAGGATAGAATGCTGGAAGATAAGGATAGATTGCTGGAAGATAAGAAGAAAGAAATGCAAAGGCAAAACAGACAGATTAAGAAAATGCAAGAGTGTTTAAAGCAGTTGCAGGTATTGATAGCCAAAGGTTTGTTGTTGAGCGAAAATGAATGAGTTAATACCTTAGAAATAAATGTAAATAACGACAGAGAAAAAAAGATAATCTAAAAACTATTTTTGCATGCCCATCATATTCATGTTTTCTTGGTTTTGTACATGATTAATTCAATGAAACGCAGTATTTCTAAAATGTGCAGTAGTAAAGATTCATGAATCTGGAAACATACATAATTACAACATTATTTTTCTGTTAGATTTCATAAATTTGTATCAAATATTCAATATTTTC